TTTTTTTTCTTAGTTTGCACAGCTTTTGTGATCGTCGTTTTTCAGGCTATTGACTATGTAAAGCTGCGTAAACCATATGTAATAAATGATTTGAAGCGGCAGTATGACTTGGTAAGATAAATATTTTCTGGGAAAAAAATAGTTTGATTAATTTGTTAACGTTATAGTTGGATCGACGGAAGGTATTCCGAACCCTTGCCAAAGAAGGCATTGAACATCCTAGACATGGTGTTTTGATGAGAAGTGACTCAAATGAAGAAGGTGAGCGAAGAAAACCTTGAAAGGGAAAATTATCTCAAAAAATTTGCAGATGGCGTCCTAGTCGAGCACAATGACCACATAGAAGTAAATGGTATGGTTTTCAACAAGCCTTTTGTTGAGAAACCAGTGTCAGCTGAGGACCACAATATTTATATCTACTATCCGAGTTCGGTTGGTGGAGGATCGCAAAGGCTATTTAGGAAGGTCAGTTTTAAATTTGTTTTGTTTACCTCTTTTATTATAATCTACGTTCGTTTTTTCCCATTATTATTGTCTAACAAACTTTTACCTATTTAGTAGATAATAACTAGTAACATTGATTTTCTTCGCTTTTGCGTTTTGGCGCCCTAATTTCATGTATTTATACTAGCTACAACATAGTGATGTTTTAGGGAACCATAACGGTTAACGGAAGATCTGTAAAATCGGCGCATGTGAGTAGACGATTTTAGGAATTATACGCTTGCAGCTAATAGCCAAGAGTTCGAACCCCATCTGATGTTTTTTAGTAGTAGTTAGCTGTCGATGTCTCATCTCTCTTTCCCCTACTACTAGCAACGCTTGCAGTGTTTTGTGTGACCTAACACAACTGAAAAAACAAAGGTTTTTGATCTTGCAACACTTGATAGTTTAGCAAAACAACATAGTTTTAGTTTACACTTAACAGTCAACTAAAGTCCTTCAAATGTTCAAAGACTAATTGCAAATTGAACAATGCGCAAGTGTGCGGTCCACATGTTCTTCATGATTATAAACAAAAGGACATAATGGCGCTGCAAAAAGATTTTGAATTCACCTGATCGCGGGATACCCTCGTGCACTTTCTTGATTGCACCTATTATTTTGTTTTGATGCGGAAATGTCTAGGCGATGTAATATGCTGGAATGTAGTGGGGATGCCTTTGAGTGGGAAAGAAAATCGTGGGCGAGGCAGGGCATATCGTTGAAATTTGCAGTGAATTGCACTTGTCTTGAAAAGTTAATTATGAAAATCATAGTGATTGATGGAAAATTCATTTGTAGAGTAGCCAATTGATCACTGGCTCTGGTTTTATGGAGCACGAAATTAGGACAATAATGAGCTGGAAAATTATATAAAATTTGTCTGGAGAAGTTTAAGAATCGCCAGCATACAGTCTATGTCAGCCACGGCTCCCTTTCCGTTCAGCTCAAGCCAACGCTAGAGCTCGCGCGCAGCGTACGCGGGAGTAAGGCTTGAGCGTAAAGCTGCCACATCAATCTGGGATCGCTGCGCAACGTCCACGTACTGCGGATGCGTGATTGCCGCAGAAAAGGAGCACGTGGTTGACACAGATTGTACAAGTGACCGAAAAATTATTACATAGCAACCAATCATTTGTATCTCTAAAAGCGAATTTCCATGTTTCTGTGTTTTCCTGGTAAGTTTTAACTTAGAAAGTAATTTTTTCTTCTTCCAGATTAACAATCGAAGCAGTTGGTATTCACCAGTAAGCGAAGTTCGTAAAGATGGCTCTTATATCTATGAGGATTTTATCCCAGCCGACGGCACAGATGTGAAGGTAATTTGGCTCACATTCTATAGCTTTGCTGTTTGCAGCGCTATTTCTGCTTATCCATTTCTCTTGGGTGAGATTTGAAACTGATTTATGTTTCTCGTTTGAAGGTGTATGCCGTTGGACCATATTATGCCCATGCGGAAGCTCGAAAAGCACCTGG